CATCTGCCCTATCCCGCTGTGTTGCAGTCTGCTAGCAAGCCCAGTGTTTTCCAAGCTGAGTCTGGGATGGAAAACACGAAGTCTTCACATAGGTAGCCAGAGCTACGAAGCTGATGTCAGAGCGATGGACATTTTACGATCACTTCATATACCATAAATTACATGCACGAGTGAATTCCGTAGCGTAATCTCTTTGTGGCAGCTTCACGTCGGGGGATAGCAGAAATGGGCACATTGTACCCATGCGGTACCCATGCTGGGAATCGAACCCAGACCCCGATGTAACTCTTCAGCGTTAGAAATTGGCACTAGTCCTATAGTCCTTGCCAAACTGCCCAATAGTTAAGGTATCATAAGGACCAGTAGAATTTGGCCATTTATAAGGGTTTAGCTATATGTTATCATTGTAAGGACTACTGGACTAAAAATATTAGTTTCTACCCCTGACTCTTTAACCACTAGGTCAACCCACGGTCCTTAGATATATATTGGCTACATACAATTTGGTCAAGGAAGAAAAGCGGTGTTTGAAAATCTTGCACCAAACCAAATTTGACCAGGTCTAGTCTCCCCTTGAATGTTTAGACATCGCAATATGCATGCTTAAGACTCCAAAGTCAAAACGTGAGTGATCTACCCTCAACCTAAAACGTACATCACGAACTACACACCAGCAAACCGTTCCCAGGTCAGATAAACTGTCTTTGACAGCAATTAAATACGTTCACCAGTTAGCCAGTTTATACTCGTGATCAAAACAAACTCAATCTGCCCTTCTTTCTATCACTGACGGAAACCATGACAACTGTCGTGAAAAGCAGGATCTGGTTCCTTTTATTTAGTTGTTTGGTTGCGCCTTTCTTCCTGTGTTCATCGTCTTCCTTCACTAAATGTCACAGTAAATGTCCCGACCCGTGAAGATCCGGGGTAGAATAGGTCTTCAGCAACCCATGCTTTCCGTAAAAGGCGACTGTGCTTGTAAGTCGCGACTAACGGAATCGGGTGGTCAGGCACGCTGAATTGGTCGATGCATGTCATGGTATCCCATTTGCGTAGATTGATGCTCAAAATCAATCACTGGATTGCCAGGTCCAGACTCGATTATTTACAGACCGCTCTCATATAGCTGGAATATTGCGGAGTGCGGCGTTAAACAACAAACAAACAAATGTCCCCGTCCAGAAATCGTATCCTCTTACATTTCAGCCTCATGGAATTGACGCTAATCCCGAAATAGATCTGTCAGTTATAACCGGGACCGCAAGTGTATCTATAGACTGCAACTTCTGTTTCTCAAACATATCGATGACATAGCGAAAAAGGACCTTTCTGACTGAAAACGATTCCTTTTAAACCATGCTAATATGATATTAACAGGGCTTTAGAGCGTGAATAGTATGTTTTCCGAAACTAACAGGCACAACTTGGTGGTGAACTTCCATGTATCCGGCGTTTGAATATATAGGCAACGCTTTAAACACTAAAAAAATAACATGCAGCTGTAGAGCTGGCTGTTTGACCTTGCCGGAACTGGACGATGACGCCTCGTTCTGACTTCTGAGTGCCCACCTAAATACTCTATTAGATCCAGCCTAAGATACAGTAAGGTTCCAGCCTAAGATACAATAGTGTTCCGGCCAAAGATACGGTAAGGTTACCATAGTGATCCAGCCAAAGATACAGTAGGGATCCAGCCTAAGATACAGTAGGGATCCAGCCGAAGATACATTAGTGATCCAGCCTAAGATACAGTAGTGTTACAATAGTGATCCAGCCAAAAATACAGTAGGGTTCCAGTCTAAGATACATCAGAGATCCAGCCTGAGATACAGTAGGGTTCCAGCCTAAAATACAGTTGGGTTCAAGCCTAAGATACAGTAGTTATCCAGCCAAAGATACAGTTGGGTTCCAGCCTAAGATACAGTAGTTATCCAGCCAAAGATACAGTAGGGTTCCAGCCTAAGATACAGTAGTGATCCAGCCAAAGATACAGTAGGGTTCCAGCCTAAGATACAGTAGGGTCCCAGCCTAAGATACAGTAGGGATCCAGCCAAAGATACAGTAGGGTTCCAGCCAAAGATACAGTAGTGATCCAGCCAAAGATACAGTAGGGATCCAGCCAAAGATACAGTAGGGTTCCAGCCTAAGATACAGTAGTTATCCAGCCAAAGATACAGTAGGGATCCGGCCAAAGATACAGTAGGGTTCCAGTCTAAGATACAGTAGTGATCCAGCCAAAGATACAGTAGGGTTCCAGCCTAAGATACAGTAGTGATCCAGCCAAAGAAACAGTAGGGATCCAGCCAAAGATACAGAAGGGTTCCAGCCTAAGATACAGTAGGGTTCCAGCCTAAGATACAGTGGTGATCCAGCCTAAGATACAATAGTGTTCCAGCCAAATATACAGTAGGGTTCCAGTCAAAGATACATTAGGGTTCCAGCCTGAGATACAATATTGTTCCAGCCTAAGATACAATAGGGTTCCAGCCTAAGATACAGTAGTGTTCCAGCCAAATATACAGTAGGGTTCCAGCCTGAGATACAATATTGTTCCAGCCTAAGATACAATAGTGATCCAGCCAAAAATAAAGTAGGGTTCCAGTCTAAGATACAGTAGTGTTCAAGCCTAAGATACATCAGAGATCCAGCCTGAGATACAGTAGGGTTCCAGCCTAAGATACAGTAGTTATCCAGCCAAAGATACAGTAGGGTTCCAGCCAAAGATACAGTAGTGTTCAAGCCTAAGATACATCAGAGATCCAGCCTGAGATACATCAGAGATCCAGCCTGAGATACAGTAGGGTTCCAGCCTGAGATACAGTAGGGTTCCAGCCAAAGATACAGTAGTGTTCCAGCCAAAGATACAGTAGGGTTCCAGCCTAAGATACAGTAGGGTTCCAGCCAAAGATACATTAGGGTTCCAGCCAAAGATACAGTAGGGTTCCAGCCTAAGATACAGTAGGGTTCCAGCCTAAGATACAGTAGGGTTCCAGCCTAAGATACAGTAGTGTTCCAGCCAAACATACAGTATGGTTCCAGCCAAAGATACAATAGTGTTCCAGCCTAAGATACAGTAGGGATCCAGCCTAAGATACAGTAGGGTTCCAGCCTAAGATACAGTAGGGTTCCAGCCTAAGATACAGTAGGGTTCCAGCCTAAGATACAGTAGGGTCCCAGCCAAAGATACAGTAGGGATCCAGCCTAAGATACAGTAGGGTTCCAGCCAAAGATACAGTAGGGTTCCAGCCTAAGATACAGTAGGGTTCCAGCCTAAGATACAGTGGTGATCAAGCCAAAGATACAGTAGTGATCCAGCCAAAGATACAGTAGGGTTCCAGCCAAAGATACAGTAGGGTTCCAGCCTAAGATACAGTAGTGATCCAGCCAAATATACAGTAGGGATCCAGCCAAAGATACAGTATGGTTCCAGCCTAAGATACAGTAGTGATACAGCCAAAGATACAGTAGTGATCCAGCCAAAGATACAGTAGGGTTCCAGCCTAAGATACAGTAGTGATCCAGCCAAAGATACAGTAGGGTTCCAGCCAAAGATACAGTAGGGTCCCAGCCTAAGATACAGTAGGGTTCCAGCCTAAGATACAGTAGTGATCCAGCCAAAGATACAGTAGGGATCCAGCCAAAGATACAGTAGGGATCCAGCCAAAGATACAGTAGGGTTCCAGCCAAAGATACAGTAGGGTTCCAGCCTAAGATACAGTAGTGATCCAGCCAAAGATACAGTAGGGACCCAGCCAAAGATACAGTAGGGTTCAAGCCTAAGATACAGTAGTGTTCCAGCCAAACATACAGCAGTGTTCAAGCCTAAGATACAGTAGTGTTCAAGCCTAAGATACAGTAGGGTTCCAGCCAAAGATACAGTAGGGTTCCGGCCAAAGATACAGTAGGGTTCCAGCCAAAGATTCAGTAGGGTTCCAGCCAAAGATACAGTAGGGTTCCAGCCAAAGATACAGTAGGGTTCCGGCCAAAGATACAGTAGGGTTCCAGCCAAAGATACAGTAGTGTTCCAGCCTGAGATACATCAGAGATCCAGCCTGAGATACAGTAGGGTTCCAGCCAAAGATACAGTAGGGTTCCAGCCAAAGATACAGTAGTGATCCAGCCAAAGATACAGTAGGGTTCCAGCCTAAGATACAGTGGGGTTCCAGCCAAAGATACAGTAGGGTTCCAGCCAAAGATACAGTAGGGTCCCAGCCTAAGATACAGTAGGGTTCCAGCCAAAGATACAGTAGTGTTCCAGCCAAAGATACAGTAGGGTTCCAGCCAAAGATACAGTAGGGTTCCAGCCAAAGATACAGTAGGGTTCCAGCCAAAGATACAGTAGGGTTCCAGCAAAAGATACAGTAGGGTTCCAGCCTAATATACAGTAGGGTTCCAGCCAAAGATACAGTAGGGTTCCAGCCAAAGATACAGTAGGGTTCCAGCCAAAGATACAGTAGGGTTCCAGCAAAAGATACAGTAGGGTTCCAGCCTAAGATACAGTAGGGTTCCAGCCAAAGATACAGTAGGGTTCCAGCAAAAGATACAGTAGGGTTCCAGCAAAAGATACAGTAGGGTTCCAGCCTAAGATACAGTAGGGTTCCAGCCAAAGATACAGTAGTGTTCCAGCCAAAGATACAGTAGTGTTCCAGCCAAAGATACAGTAGGGTTCCAGCCAAAGATACAGTAGTGTTCCAGCCAAAGATACAATAGTGTTCCAGCCAAAGATACAGTAGTGTTCCAGCCAAATAAACAGTAGTGTTCCAGCCAAAGATACAATAGTGTTCCAGCCAAAGATACAGTAGTGTTCCAACCAAAGATACAGTAATGTTCCAGCCAAATATACAGTAGGGTTCCAGCCAAAGATACAGTAGAGCTCTACCATAATGTTTTCCAGGCTTCCAGCTAAATGGATTGACCGCAAATACTCGTTTAAAAGAAATGCCGTTTCTTATCGAATCAAGTGTTGTAGTAATGTCGTTAGATAAGAAAATATCTCTCCAGTTACACGTGACAAGTTCCATCGTGTGAGCACTGGATACAGAGATAAGACTCGACATGTCTTTTTTCACTGCTGTCGACGTCGAAGTGTAGGTGAGTTCGAGAACACTCCACATCATTAACACATTGAACGCTCATGACTTGAAAATGATATACATTATATGCCATGCATTATATACATTCTAGTTCGCGGCAGCTAGACAATAAGTTGGTATTCTGTGATTCTATTCTGAAATCTGGATTCTCGATTGCAATAATTATCACGGTATCACGTTTTAAACAGACGGACTCTCAAAAGGCTGTTCAAAACCATTGATTACTAAACCCACTCCCGCGTAAAAAAACCATGAATAACTCATTCTTGTGTAGATGCACTTCTTCAGCCAGATGGTATTGCCCGGCCGGGTTTTGTCATAGCGAACATCCAGAGGCCGATATGAGTCACAAATCTTAAGCTTGTCCATTGGTAATGTTGGTGAATCGGCTTAGTCTTGTTTTCACAAATCTGTTGCATGTTGGAACCATGATGACATGCAGTTAAAATGGGAATAAGAAAGTACGCATTGTAAATATTCTTCGTAATTTCCCCACTCACCCGCGGATAGGTTCGAGTCCTTATGGCCCTATATTGAACGATATCTACCGGCACATGAATATTCTGGAGCTCACCTGCATGTAGAAACATAATCTGTGCGGGCCAATACTTCCATAGCTCAGTCACATTTCACGTTTCAGGACCTGTCCGCCATGTTGACCCTGAGTTTCCTTCTGTTGGGGGTAGCCCTCTGGTGAGTTTCTCTGTTCCACTACAGCCAGATTGTACTGGGTATAAAACAAGCGTCTATATCATACACTGATAGCCAGAGACTAATAACTCAAATAATACACCATTTGTTCGTCGGAATTTCCAGTACCGTCTTTTTTCAAAAATATAATACCAACTTGGTTTAAAATAAAGTCCTTATAAAGAATTCAGAAAAGTGCAAACTCTTGTATCTGTTCATGGGGATGCTGAGAGACAACTGATACATACAACTATCGGCAGAAATCCTTTTACAAATTATTTTACAAGTAATTTCTTTTTCTCAAAATGAAGAAAAAAAATGAAAATCGCATTGGATGCATGAAATAATGAATATTTTCTGGCCATTTTCGTTGTCAGCTATGCTTCTATCGAATCCGCAACAGACCGTCTGTTTCTACTGAAGGACGAAGATCGTGACGGCAGTATCTCCAACAATGAGATGATGACGTATCTCGTCGGCTGTGACATCAATTGTACGTATACAATAATATAAAGTACTCAAAAGAAGTTAAATAAACCCGATTCTTTCATATAACTACAGTGATACGGTGGCGGGGTAGACTGGTTAGGCGTTGGCTCCTCACGCCGAACACATGGGTTCGTTTCCCAGCATGGGTACACTATGTGAAGCCCATTTCTGATGTCTCCCATGGTAATATTACTGAAATATTGCTAAATGCACATCATGCGTTGAGCTATACTACTCAACTTTTGATAAGAATAATCAGATAGGTCCCATATATTCAAATATACACTGTACATAGTGTTCTCTATGAAAAGTGGAGTAATTCAACTAAATAGAGTTTCAACTCAACATCGCCAAGCTTCAACTGTGACAACAACTTTTAAGAATGAAGGGGGATAATCTAGTCTGAAGCTGCCAACACCCTTTTGTTAATGCACTGGGTGCGTTTTTCCGAATCGTACGTGTTTCCCGACTATTGGTTTGCATGTCCTTGTGGTTAGAATGATCCGGGAAATTTGTCACTGACGCAATAACACATGTTAAACCTCTTCATTTTGCACCTCTTGGTCCGCTACTTTTGCTTTTATGGCCAAAAATATCCGTATTGCGTTTCTTTTTCTTTTTTTTTACCCATGCAAGTCTATAATGTTTGGCAAGGCTAGGTTATTGTAGTATATTAAAATGAAGAACGTCCTTTGGTTCCTTTTTATATTATTTAACAACTGGTTTTTTTTTCAGTAAAATATTTTTATTTCAGAGACTGGATGAAAGTCTAGCGGATAATTTGTATCGGTTGGATTCCCATACCAAATATACATTTCCCAGAAAAACATATTATGAACGGATGTGCTAAAACTTGTAAAGATACGTATAAAGTGATACCTGAAGATGTATGTAAGTGTGTGTTTGTGTGTGCGCGCATGTAGTTAAAGGTAGCAGAGCTTCTTCTAAGCTTACATTATGGTATTTAACGACACGGTGTCTTTTCTACACAACTAACGGTTATGATTATAACACTAGTGTCGTGTGCAGAAATGGAATTCCATTTTAACGTGTTTAGGTCACGTGATACTTTAAGTCTTCCAGCCTTAGGTATCGCTCGATGATTTCCTTTAGCTGTTGCATTTTCACTGCAGCTGACAAGCGTTTGACGGAGGCTGAGTTCTTCCACTGTTCAACCAACCGGAACCACAACATGCACCCCTTCGCCGTGAGCCTCTTCCACGCCTTCGACATCGGACACCGCCGCTGGATCACCCTTGACGACGCCGGGATCAAGTCAATAATGAACGCATTCGACGGCGACGGTCAGTACATAAGAAAAATAGGTTTGATAAAACTTTTATGGAGATGGGTCTTATCGCAACAGCGAAATATACGCGCGTTTCGATATGCCCCATTTAAATGTCTTGCACGTCGAAGTAGCCAGTTGGTTTAAGCGCTCGTACGTCACGCCGAATTCGTTGGTCCTATTCCCACATGCACGAGTACTATATTAATGAAGCCGATCTTTAGCTTCTTGTATTCTTGTATGGGGGGCCTAGTCGTCTAAGGCGCTGCAATTCGCTCTGCAGAGTTCGTCCCTGGGACACGCCAGACACCGTTGATTGTCGGTTTAAATCCCGGTTCACCCCGATCATTATGTTTCTAGGTTTGTCAGCACCATACGGTCCATACCCGTGCTCGTGGGTTTCACCGAAGTGGTAAACGTCTGAGACCTGCATAACTTTGGGCTTTCCTCTAACATTAAGCTGACACGCCGTGATATGACTGGAATACTGTTAAAAGCGGCGTTAAACCCAACTCACTCACTCACTCTTATCGCATGAATTAAAAAAACTAAGAGCAGAGAACAAAGACGGGTTTACAGTCATCCACTCACTCCCCCGATTACGACACGCTTAAGTTGCTCGCGAACATTTTGTCATGAAATCCCTATTTGGTCCTGTAAAAGAATATCTAGCTCGGTATTAGGTCATCAGACATGGTATACAGGCTGGTAAATGTTCAGATAATCGTGACGTGTAATTGTTTGATTGTCCACAATAACGACACACACTGCGCAGCTATTCCGATACGGTGACCTTTGTGCTGCCACTTATATACAACTGAGTATGAATTAAAGGTATAGGTATTAACTGAGGTTAAAATGAGTGTGACGGAATATCGTAAATATAGAAAGATGGAACAAAAGTTTATTTGGCCCTCAATCCGTAACGTTTGTCCACATATACACGTGTATGTCGTTGTTTGTTTGTTGTTTAACGCAGCACTCAGCAATATTCCAGCTATATGACGTCGGTCTGTAAATGATCGAGTCTGGACCAGACAATCCAGTGATTGATAATATGAGCATTAATCCATGCAATTGAGATACGGTGACATGCATCAACCAAGTCAGCGAGCCTGACCACCCGATCCCGTTAGTCGCCCCTTACGACAAGCATAGTCGCCTTTTACAACAAGCATGGGGTGCTGTACATCTATTCTAACCCGGATCTTCACGGGTCTCGCGTCATTGTTACATAACTCTTAATTTTAACTTAATTTGGTCGGGTTTTTTCAGAGTTTCATTTTTTTTATGGGACTGCAGAAAAACATATAATGTATATAGTTAAGGGTTGACGGGTGGCCCAGTTGTCTACGCCGCAGGGATTTCCCTTAGGTATGCCAGAAAGATACGATCGTGGGTTCGAATCCCGGTTCGCCCTGATTATGTTTCTAGGGTTGTCAGTACCATACCCCTGCTTTGGGGTCTAAAACATGCATCACACCCCGTGATATAACTAAAATAATTAAGTAATATCTTCATTAATAAAGAAGTTGTTCATCCATATATCGTATCTTACTTAGTCTCTAACGTCTATATGCCTCTCATAGAAACTAAAATGATGTTCAAAGCGACCTTAAACCAAACTCACTCACTATACAGTTTTATATTGTATTATTTTTACAGCAAATGGTTCGGTGGACAAGGCTGAGTTTGAAGGTTATCTTCACCACGTAAGAACGCTATTACTTTTTATACAAAGAAAACTCGTTAACTTGATACATACTATTATATCGTTTAAGGACCGACATGATCCCCTTGTCTCGAAATACGCTTGTCTCGAACTCGATATATTTTTGCTGGTCTCCATACAGGACTTAATAAAATTAACGTATCCAACGCAAAAGTAATCGATTTAAAGCATTATTACCTATATTTGTTTCAGCGTCTTCACCACGGAAGCAACCAATAAACATCACGACGCCAAATGTTCGTTTGTTTTTCGAAACAATCAGAAGCCCAATGAATTGTTCAATAAACGCGAATTTCATAAAGAAGGTTATCAAATTTTAATAGAAACGTGTATCTTTACCTGATTTAAATCATAACCCCTTCACCGAAGATGTCCGGGCGTCTTAGCTAAAGCGGATCGCTTTTTGAGTGAGTTATTTTCGCTCAGTACTGTAGTAGATCATTTGACACCTCAATTCAGCGATCAAACATTAAACACGGCAAGAGTGACAGATCCCTGCGTTATTAAGTCGGAACAGGGTGAATATCGACACAGGGTCGCTGGGATCTGCACCGATATTGATTAAATTAGCATCCGCGGATTCGAAATCAATTAAGGGACATTTCAGAACTCTCAGACGGATCGAAGAATTCCAGAGACTCGCACAAGACTGGAAGATATTGCATGAATTCTTGCATAGACGGAACTTTCATATCGGTTGCAGATGACAGATGGTATGGAGTATTTTGTAATTGATTTAGAAAACCCGACTAAGCGTACCTGATTCCCAATTTCTGGTGTTCAGTCAAGCTTGTCTCACTATCGCCAAACAGTTAATTGTTTATAGGGTGAGCTTAAAATGGTATTTGGATTGTTTTACGCTCTATATAGTAAACTATACTAAAACGTAGGCTGTTTGTAGGACATGTAATTCACTATTCATTCTCTAGAGGCTGGGGGGGTTCGCCATGTATGTAGTTTAGCCGGAACCCTTGACCCGGTGGTGGGATGAGAAACGCTGCAGACAGGGCCTCCCACAAAACTGAGGATCGACCGAACTCGGGGTGGTGGTTGTGATGGGCGACAGCTGGGATTTTTCGTTAGAGAATGACTTCGGGTGATCAGTTTTCAAAAATATTAAATTCTGTAGGCTTGAGACATCCGGAGTACAATGATGCACAAGCAGACGGGTCGTACATTGTTCCATCCTAGATATTTAGTTGGCCCTTATGGCAGGTATGGGCCGGGATACTGTTTGTTTGTTTGTTGTTTATCGCTACACTCAGCAATATTCCAGCTAGATGACGGCAGTCTGTAAAAAATCGAGTCTTGAACAGACAATCCAGTGATTGACATCATGAGCATCGATCCACGCAATTGGGGTACGATGACATGCATCAACCAAGTCAGCGAGCGCGAGCACCCGATCCCGTTAGTCGCCTCTTAGACAAGCATGGGTTACTGAATGTCATTTCTAACCCGAATCTTCGAGTGTAGGCCGGGATATTGGGAAGATCGGGATCACCACGGGGAATATATCTGTAAAATCACGAAGTATGTTCAGACACACATGCTGTTATCACAGATGGCACGTTAAATAAGGCCATACTGTCGGAACATACTTCAATCGGCCGAGGGGGCACGGGTGGCCCAGTCGTCTAAGGCGCCGCGATTCGCTGTGCAGAGTTGCGTCCCTTGGGCACGCCAGAAACCTATGATTGTGGGTTCGAATCCCGGTTCGCCCCGATTATGTTTCTAGGTTTGTCAGCACCATACCCGTGCTCGTGGGTTTCACCGAAGTGGTAAACGTCTGAGACCTGCATCACTTCGGGCTTTCCTCCCACATTAAGCTGACACGCCGCGATATAACTGGAATACTGTTAAAAGCGGCGTTAAACCCAACTCACTCACTCACTCAATCGGCCGACGCTACACATCTCGTGATTCAGAGCGAACAACCTTGACCCTTGGACACCTACATATTATGTATAGCCATTAAATAAACTGACCCATATATAAGCTGGGTCAGTGACTACAGCGAGACTCTGTCAACCTGCACAGATAACACGCGCCACGCCAACAGTGGTGACATTATACAATGATGTACTCACAGCCAGCTCATAGATAACGCACCACCTATCTAAACTCTACGCAGGGTGCACTGAACCAGTTGTGAAGGGCAACGAAAACCGCCAATAGAAACAGAATAAAGTTATTTGGAGTTATGTCCAGCTTCATGTTGAAATGAGTAGTGAGTGAATGTGGTTGTGTGCCGCTTTTTAGCAATATTCCAGCAACATCACGGCGGGGAATACCAGAAATGGGCTTTACATATTGTAACTTTTGTTTGTTTGTTTGTTGATTTGTTGTTTACCGTCGCACTCAGCAATATTCCAGCTATATGACGGCGGTCTGTAAATAATCGAGTCTGGACCAGACAATCCAGTGACTGACATCATGAGCATCGATCCGCGCAACTGCATGGGATCGATGACATGCATCAACCAAGTCAGCAAGCCTGAACACCCGATCCCGTTAGTCGCCTTTTACGACAAGCATAGTCGCCTTTTACGCAAGCATGGGTTGCTGAAGACCTATTCTACCCCGGAATCTTCACATATTGTAACTATCATGTGGGGAATCGAACCCAGGCCTTCGGCGTGACCGGCGAATGCTTTAACCACTAGGCTACTCAGTGGTGTACAGAGATGTTGGATTACAAACTGATTTAGGCTGGAATAGCGTTAGTATATTCATGACTGTATGAGGACTCGCCTGTCCATTCATAATATAGTGTTTGTATAGTCATGAAATACGTAGTACATACACAGTACGTGTAATAAATGTTATTAACAATAATGCATCTTTAACGTTCACATGTTTTGGACTTTCAGTGTTTTTCTAAAAGTAGAAATGTTCATCCTCGCATTGGAACTATAATATTATTACGAAATGACCCAAACAGGGTGAATATTTACATGATTAACCACTAGAGACCGAGGATGAAGTTTTGTGTCGGAGAGTGCATGAAAACTGGGACGTGAGCGAATTCAATACCCCACACGCGGAATATCTAACGGCTGATAAGCGGCAGGTCGCCGGTAAACTGTCCTTTTCTTGGCGACAGATCGAGCTACAGGTAAGAATATAACAGGTGGTCTTTGATAAACATGATTGTCTCAGTATTTAGAAGGCCAGGCAGCCATCGCCGTTATTACTCAGTTAGTTTATTCCCTTGATCGACGTTTGTGTTGATGTAGTGCCCTGGTAAGCCTTGTGAACTGTCATTCACCAATAATGCACACGCCTCGGCTCCCGCAGTTACGCAGTTATAAATTGGATTTTGTTTTGTTCTTTGTTTAACGCCGCACTCAGCAATATTACATCTATATGACGGTGGTGTGTGAATAATCGAGCTTGGACCAGACATACGGCAAGCATAGGTTGCTGAAAATCTGGGTCTTCACGGGTTAGATTTATATTGGGAGTGAGTTAGTTGGGTTTAACGCCGCTTTTAACAGTATTCCAGTTATATCGCGGCGTGTCAGCTTAATATGGGAGGAAAGCCCGAAGTGATGCAGGTCTCAGACGTTTACCACTTCGGTGAAACCCACGAGCACGGGTATGGTGCTGACAAATCTAGAAACATAATTGGGGTGGAACCAGGATTCGAACCCACAATCATAGGTGTCTGGTGTGAGATTTATGTTGGAAAGGTGACACAGCATATACAGTTATAAGTGTAATGAAGGCCTGAAAACGGTCGACAGCATGAGTACATCCGAAGCTGTTGGACTCTCAATAGGACAGCCCACAGTTTGGGATAACATGATCCAAAAAAAGCAATTTATTTCATAATTTATTAATTTGCAGTCGAAATGTTTTGACCTATATAATAATCAAAGTTTACTGCAAGTGATTGTTCTCCTTAATACGTCACGCTACAGGTGATTGCACCTTCCATACACAATAAACAACTGTTTGGTATAAACCGTTCTATTCAGAACTAATACATCACTTCTTATTTGATAACATCCTTGCATTATCTCACTGATGCCGTCATGTTATACAGTTGGAATATTGTTGAATGCGGCGTTAAACATCAAACAAACAGTAACACGATGGACGAAGTGCGTAGTTAAACTTTTTAAGGTGTCTGTTTGTCCTGTGTGTAGAGAGATTAGTGCATGGCCTTGTATTTTTAAGCCGGGGCCGCTCATGTGGGGTCACGTATCTGTACGCCAAGGCAGGTAACTCTATATCTCTTATATAAAAGGCCTACTTCGAGTGCCCTGAAAGGGACTACTTAATATTAGTGAGTGAGTGAGTTTGGTTTAACGCCGCTTTTAACAGTATTCCAGTTATATCACGGCGTGTCAGCTTAATGTGGGAGGAAAGCCCGAAGTGATGCAGGACTTAGACGTTTAACACTTCGATGAAACCCACGAGCACGGGTATGGTGCTGACAAACCTAGAAACATAATCGGGGCGAACCGGGATTCGAACCCACAATCATAGGTTTCTGGCGTGCCCAAGGGACGCAACTCTGCACAGCGAATCGCGGCGCCTTAGACGACTGGGCCACCCGTGCCCCCCTACTTAATATTAAGAAATATTAAGCCGTATGATAGTGAGTGGTTGAGTGAGTGAGTGAGTTGGTTTAATTGCAGTTTGAACAGTGTTTCAAGTACGTCTGCTTGATATGTGAGGGAAGCCCGAAGTGACGTGTAACAGGCCTACCAAAGAAAACAAGCAGTGAGCTACCAAACTATGGAAGGTGACGCCTTGCGAGATTTACTGTTTGTTTGTTGTTTAACGCAGCATTCAGCAATATTCAGCTTTATGACGGCGGTCAGTAAATAATCGAGTCTGAACCAGACAATCCAGTGATTGACATCATGCATGCATGAGCATCGATCCACGCAATTGGGATACGATGACACGCATCAACCAAGTCAGCGAACCTGACCACCCGATCCCGTTAGTCGCCTCTTATGACAAGCATAATTGCCTTCAAGAATGGGTTGCTGAAGACTTATTCTACTCAGGATCTTCGCGGGTCGCGAGACTTACTGTGTTTGGTTTCATTGAAAGTGAGCCGGGTTCTCATCATTATATCCCCTATGGGGATTGTGTCTTTGTTTGTAATTTGTGTGGCCATTTCTATAAAGTTCAAGCCGAAAACCCGGGTTCGAATCCCGACATGGGTACAATGTGTGAAGCCCATTCCTGGTGTCCACCGCCGTGATATGACTGTAATATTGCTGTAGGCGGCGTAAAACCAATCTCACTCACTCTCTCGCTATTCTCGTGTACATATTCCATAGTTGGGTACTACTGGGTTTTTTTGGTGCTACACGTGCTCGAGGTAAACGTCCGATCCAGTTTACCTCGAGCACGTGTATGGATGTCTAGACAAGGCGCTGTCAGCTGTGTCACAGTGATCGATGTTGAAAGTTTCTAATAGCGTAATCGGGGTACGATGGTATACCAGAACAGAAAGGGCATGATAAAGAGTCGCATTTCTTAGAGACCCACCATTATATATTATACAGAGAGGGTCACTGTTCCATATTATATAACCAGGGTCACTATATTTCAAAACACGCCACACGGGTACTATGTGCGAAGCCCACGCCGTGATGTTGCTGAAATATTGCTAAAAGCGGCGTAAAACCATACACACTTACTCATTCAAGACACTCATTTTTTCTGTGGAAGTTGGAGTCGATCAATTATTTTATTCACAACACATTTTTTTTCAGGACATGACATATTCAATTATTTTTATTTTTTGTGTGTGTATGTGTATGTGTGTGTGCGTGCGTGATTTAAAGTGTGTATGTTGTTAACATAGAAATATAAGTATATGACGGCAACTTGTTAATGATCGAGTCTGGACCAGGCAAACCAATAGTTGATACTATGAGCAACGTCCTCACTCACTCACTCAATTTGACTCAATTTGACAAGTAACCAAGTCTGACCAACCGATTCATTTAGTCGCCTCGTACGACTAGCTTATATCAGAGCTTGCCGGGGCAAAACCTCCTAACCAGGGCTTCCCACGGGGCAAATAGAATTTATTAACATTTGAGTAAATATATACTACCAATAAGGAGTTAATTATATTCATTAAAGTGCCTTTATTCATGATTGAATGAATAATAGAAACTAATTAGCTTTACGATGACGTCACTTGGAGGCGGCTTACCAGAGTACCGCACCCCAGGGGTCAATATAAGTGTGGACAACATTAAAAACAAAAAGAAGAAAAAAATGTATTGACAACTGAGGTCAACTTAAGGAACACGTAAATCAGTTAATATGTGCTATCGTTGGTTAACGAAGCAAGGTTAACTTGGGTGTTGGTCAACGGAGGTTAACTTGGGTTGTACCTGTCTACATAATACTACATTTGGATTTCAATCAAGGGAGGAGGCGGGGGCCTATGAATATGTGTTTACCTGGGTCGTCTATGGTTTTGAAATGAAACGTATTAATTAGCACTAATATATAAAACCTATATAAAATATATTACAGGTCTAGTCTGTAAAAACATCAGTACCTAAAGTTCACCAGAGAAGATACATTTGATTTGAGTAACGGTATGTGACCAGTACACTCAAACTCGCGCTGCAGTAAATCTGCAATTGTGTTGACCCTGAAAGTGGTACTTATTTATGATCCGAACGGTATTTTCCACTACTACCATAACCGTGAACAATGAACGGTCCCTCAGAGAGGAAGGGTCTGGGAATAAGATAGGCCTAACGTGACAACACTGTACTGAGAAGGGTTCGGCATGGTACGTATAATCTGTGCACGATGTCGACAGTAAGTAGCAGCATTTGGAGATGTCATAGGGCACTAAACAGCTAAAAGCGCACTCATCTGCGTATCTGCGGCTGCGTGAGATAAGCGAGACGAAACTAGTTCAGTATCAGCTGTGAGTGCGAGTGTGACCGTGTGGGCAGACAAAGTTTGTGAAGTGACGTTCGTGTGACATACTCTGAACTTCTCTGTAGACGGTACATGAAATTCGCTTACGCTGGATGCACTTACAACTAACTATAACATTAGTTTGCCTGCTGGATTTAAAGTGTGTATAACAAGCATGATTATTTCTCTGTCTCCGAGATCCAGGGAGAAGTCATTTTATCGAAATGTCTACTGGTAGAGATCTTGTGATAAAAATGTCTGCTGAAACTTTGGATGGATGATTCTAAATGGGTGTCACAAAAACAAAGATCTGAAAATTCCTATGGCATTTGTATTGTAAACTTTATTTTAAACTATGCATGTAGCTGTGTGTTGTCTATTGATCACAGTTTGTGTAAACCCCTATAGTTTATGTTCGTGTGGTCAAATCATGTATATATATATGATATTTATAGGCACCATGGTCAAATGCGGCAATGGTGAAATACGCAATTATGACATTTTACAATACGGTGTTCATTTTTAAGAGATGAAAATGATTTTTGAAATAACTTAAACAGAACTTCAGTTTTGTTATGTGTATGGTAGTTTGTGTTGTTTGTTTGTTATTTAATGCTGCACTCAGCACTTTTCCAGCTATATGACAGAGGCCTGTAAATAATCCAGTCTGGACCAGACAATTCAGTGATTGATATCAAGAGCATCAATCCACGCAATTAGGATATGATGATATGCATCAACAAAGACATAAGTCTGACCACTCGATCCTGTTAGTCGCCTCTTACGACAAGCATAGTCTCCTTTTTCAGCATGGGTTGCTGAAGACCTATTCTTACTCAGATCTTCAGATATGACATGTATAGTAGTTTTGCTTTTGTTTGTTTGTTTTTTCTTGTTTAACGCCGCACTCAGCAATGTTCCAGCTATATGACAATGGTCTGTAAATAATCGAGTCAGGACCAGACAATCCAGTGATTGACAACATGAGCATTGATCCACGCAATTGGAATATGATGACATGCGTCAACCAAGTCAGCGAGCCTGACCACCCAATCCCGTTAGTCACCTTACGACAAGCGGGGCGGTCGGGTAGCCTAGTGGTTAAAGCGTTTGCTCGTCACGCCGAAGACCCGGTTCGATTCCCGACATGGGTACAATGTGTGAAGCCCATTTCTGGTGTCCCCCGCCGTGATATTGCTGGAATATTGCTAAAAGCGGCGTAAAACCATACTCACTCACTCTTACGGCAAGCATGGGTTGCTCAAGACCTATTCTACCCTGGATCTTCACAGGTCTGTATGGTAGTAGGTCTACATAGTGCCATGAGGTGAAAGGCCATAACTAGTAAAACTTGTAAAACTGTAAAACTAATATTTGCATAATCTGAGATGTGATAATGCATATACCACATGGGCATCTATGGGTGTCAAAGTCATCTGAGGCATCGTAATTCACCGTGCATCCAATTGGCATGCCACAATCCTACAATCATATGGGTTTGATTATCATTCAAGGTTTGTCAGCACCACACCCATCCTCCTGGGGTTCATTAAAGTGGGAAACATCTGTGACCTGTGACTTCAGGCTTTACCCTCATATAAAGCTGACATACATTAATATGACTGAGCCCACCTCCATAGTGTAGTGGAAAGAGTGTCTGCCCGTAGACGGCAGGTCAGTGGTTCGATCCCCGATCGCGTCATATCAACAGATGTTGGTTGGCTCAGAGTCAGTGTACTGTGTCTGATCGAGTGTGGTATTTATGATCAACTGCGGCATGGTATCTCAATGGGCTAGGTCTAGTGGTGGGATGATACACGGGTGCTGCGTTTTTTCACGACGTTTTACTTCTCGATACTAGTATCGATCACAGTTGCACACTAACTAAAATATATTGATTCTTAGCTTCAGTGAAAACATAAGTATTTTCATCCATTGCATCATACTTGATACTGCCAACTGTACATCGTCAGTGTGCCAGGTAATTGGCCATCCTGTCTATGAAAAATGTGGCTTAGGTATCACAGATGAGAACACATGCAAGTATCGTGATACATATCGGATTGTGAGCAAGGTATCGTGACTTGGTCGATGCCCATGATGTCAATCACTGGATTGTCTGTTCCAGACTTGTTTTTTTACAGACTGCCATCATATAGATGGAATATTGCTGAGTGCGGCGTTAAACAACAAACAAACAAACACACAAATTGCTATACAACAGCAATACAATTTCATTTCATCTCATGTGACTGAAATACCATCCAAAGCAGTGTTAGACCCTACTCACACTCCCGATGATGTACAGAAACAAGAAAGAAATGCTTGGGAATAGTATGAAAGGCAGAAATTATTACAAACATTTTTTTTTTATTTATGAATGGCACATGCATGATTTTCTGTATGTCAGCAATAGTTTTGTTTGAATCAATCTTTAGATGTTGGTTCCTCAATGATGTTTTTCAATTTTTCAGGTGTGTTGCATGTGTTCGCGATCAGTACAAATTTTGTCCAGACAACTGAAAGTTTCCCAACTTCGTGTATTTCACATCATCGCCATGGATACAGTCCCACCTGCAGCATCAGGCGTCCGCAGCGCCAGCAGTTTCCTGTTTGACAAGGCATTTGTCGATGGGCAGTGGGTCGGTGCAAAGTCAGGCTCAGTATACCAAAGTAAGATTATTTTTATAACTTCATGTAGTTATCCGAAGGACCAAGGTGAGCTTATGCCATACCGTGGCGTCCGTTGTCTGTCCGTACATCATCCGTACGTCAACAATTTTTTCAAATGACTACTTTATCTGAACAACTAACTGAAAATTAACGAAATTTGTCTGGAAGCATCCCTAGGTGGTGGGGATTGTACAAATTGTACAAATGGTACCGCTGACCCCCCAGGGGGCTGAGGGGTTGGCAAAATAGAGGTAATTTGGCTATATTGCTTTAAATGCTTAAATTGCTTCTCTGGAACAAAGAGATAGATATCAACCTTATTTGGTTGGAAGCATTCTCCGGTGGTGAGGATTCAAAATTATACAAATGGTGGGGCTGACCCCCTAAGGGGGACTGAGGGGTAGGGCCAAATAGTGGTAATTTGACGTTATTGCTTTAAACGACTTCTGGTCTGGAACTTAGAGATAGATATCCAGTGATTGACATCATGAGCATCAATCTACGCAATTGGGATCGATGACATGCATCAACCATGTCAGCAATGCTGACCACTCGATCTCGTTAGTTGCCTCTTACGACAAGCATAGCCACCTTTTACGGCAAGCATGGGTTGCTGAAGACCTATTCTACCCCGAATCTTCACGGGTCTCTATATTTGAACGTAAGCAGATCTTTAACCCAGGGTGATGTGTTTTGTGGGAATGCAGGTGAAGAAATTACATACAAGTGGTACAAAATTCCTCTCAGGTGAGTGACCTCTGCTTGTAAGTACTGGAAAGGACAAAAGGCTAGTTGTCACTCACATGGGTATGTACAATAGTTTTCATATCAATATTGCAGATTTTCTGTAGCTTTCAAATTTGACATTTCCAGTTGTCCAACAGAGTGTCATCTTTGACACAGAAAGTTGCAGTGTTGCACACCCTAGTCATGCTAGGATCCTGTAATTGTTGGGTTAAATTCCAGATTCGACATGATTATGATTCTTGGTTTCCCAGCACCATACCATGTTTAGGTGGGTTCAGCAAGGTGGTTATTATTGTGTACAAAAGCAAAAGTAGGAAGTTTAATTGGATGATAAATAGAATCTCACCCTTGTGTCTTTAGGTATAAAAAAATATCAACATTTATTGATAAAAGTTTAGGAATCCTTTGTGTTGTGCTTTTGGCACTAAAATACAACAAATTTTAAACCCTCATTAATTTAATTTGATTTAATTTATTCATTTATTATGATTTTTTAATTTTTATTTTTTTATCTAATTGCTGTTTGTTATTGCTCGTCCATGTCTTGAGACAACCACATATTTTCCCACAGTCACCAACCCATCGACAGGCAAGGTGATTGGTTCCGTACCTGACATGAACGGAGACGACACCCAGCAGGCCATAGAGAAGGCTAATCTGGCATTCCTCAAGTGGAGGGACACCACAGCAAAGGTAGGCAACATGTGTATGTGTTTAAGTAAAAATAATCCTAAAGTCTTGTATGTCTGCTTGAGTTTCAAATTGGTCCAGCCATATCAGGTATAACGTTGAGTCGTTTACATATAGCTACTGTATGAAATACTTCTCTATGTGGACAACGTTAGTGAACCTTCCCTTTGAACTATTTTGCAGGAACGGAGCTTGATTCTCAGGAAGTGGTTTGATCTAACCATCCAAAACAAGCTGGAGTTAGCTAAACTACTGACAGCTGAAAATGTAAGAAAATAGATTCTACAATTTGTGGCCTTTCAATCCTTGTACCAGGCACAGCTGTAAACAGTGGAGGTTGTGTTTACTGGTACTCGGAATGAGCTATTGTCGTGAAGTGATCAATATTGTCAAGCCAAACATATGCTACTCTTAAAGAAAGTGAAAAACACCCGATTCTTTCATATTACTAAAGTTAATCTGTACATGCCATGGTCCCTGGCCGCATCATACCAAAAGACGTTAAAAGATGGTACTTGTTGTTACCCTGTCTGGCGCGCGCCATTAAGGGGATAAAACAAGGACTGGTCGGCTCGGAGTCAGTATACTGTGTCTGAGTGGGGTATTCATGTTAAACTGCTGCATGGTATTTAGTGAGGTAGCACTATAAATCGGCATCAGTCTGGCTAGCACAAGCGGCCACACACACACACCTACATGCACGTCGCTATATAAGTGCAATAATCTTGGATTCGATGTTTAACCCCATTTCACCTCACCTGTACATGCCATGACAGATTAACTTCAGTAATGTGAAAGAATCAGGTGGTCCTTAACTTTTATTGAGTAGCATGGCAAGTGTAGGGATTTCTTGTATGTTATTCCGAATTGTCTTGTGAGCTTACTATCAAGATACATAGTTCTCTGTAGAGTGTATAGCTACAGCCTTGGTTGTCATGCATGGTTGTGTTAGGCTATTCTTAGGTCATAGAAACTACTAATTCAGTTATCAAATGAAATTCTGAAGCAGTGTTTGGATGCGTTGTTGAAAATGAAAAAGATACAGTTTTCAGGATGTGTGAATAACAGCATGGACCCCCCATGTCTGAACAATGTCAGGGTTTGAACATCCTGTACAAGTCTTCCAGTGGCATGGTTACAATCATAATGGCATGGTTACAATGTGTTCCCAGTGCCGGAAGGACACATTTAGAAATCATGTTCTAAATTGCAACTGCTTATTATCTAGGTCTAGCAATGACATTCACCAAGTTCTTGTTCTTGTATTGTTCTTGTTGGCACACTTAAACTGCAGAAGGCACACCTTAGCATATTAATGAGCGCCCTGTGGAGCCCTTGAAAAAACACAAATGTTATATTTCTGTACCCCAATAATAGGTCCTCTGGCCTTTAATTTTCACAGGTAAGGTCATAAGTAAAAGAATCTCTGTAATTTCCTCCCATACTGCCAGTATCAATATACCGTTGTTATTTCCCTAGGGCAAACCCTTGAAAGAGGCCATTGGGGAGATAGGCTACGCAAGTGGGTTTATCGAGTGGTATGCGGAGGAAGCTCGGCGTGTGTACGGTGATGTCATTCCGTCAACAGCTGCCAGCAAGAGGATGCTGGTCTTGAAACAGCCTATTGGAGTAGCCGGTATGATCACTCCTGTAAGTCAAATGTCTCAAAATAGACTTTATGATAGTGCATGCTTCAAAGATTAGCTTTGATTTTTTAGGTAACACTGAAGTGATGCACATCTCAAGTCCTTCGAGAAACCCACAAGCATATGTATGGTGCCAATAAACCAAGCATCACAGCAATTTAATGATTAACCCACAATCCTAGGATACTGTCACGCCATAAGGGAGGTAACTCTACACAGTGAATTGCAGGGCGACTGTGCCACCCTAGTCAAATACATGTACATGTAATACCAATGGCCACTTCCAAATCAGTGGCAATTGGCCAGTTATCATGTGAATTAAATTTGAAAGCTACAAAAAAAACTTTTAAGTTTAACAAGAGGACAAAACAACCTATATCCCCTGCTCTTTTAAATATGTGCATCATTTTGCCCCAAACTATAAATCCTAAAGCTTGTGAGTACAACTGACATTACCGGGGTATCTGATTATGATTGGTGACTAAACCAAACGATTCCCTCTATTCTTTGAATGTTCCTTCCAAGGATGTGAATTAGTGATGGTACTTTTCAATAGATCAAAATTTTCATTTGATAACAATGCAGTCTCATTAAAATCAAATCTCAGTGCTTGCTACCGGTACACAAAGATCTTAGGAAATCCCATTACAGATCCCATCAGAACATTTCGTGAACTATGACTAACCAATTAAACGACTAACAGGAAGATGACATTAGCCAATCAGAAAGAAGCCTCCTCAAGGTTTACAGCACAAGTCTCCAACTGGCAACTTCCACTCCAGACTAGGCTTTGACAAAATATTTAGCAAACTTTTCAATTAATTTGAAAACTGAACAAAAGAAAATTCTGGAATGTCTAATAGATAACCGAGATTGTATGTCAGTACTTCCCAGAACCTATGGAAAGTCTCTTCCGTTTCAAATGTTTATCCCATTGAATTGAGATATATACAATGACTTTCATTTGACGTGTTCAGTCCTACAGCCAGTACCTGTTGTTCGGAATGCCTTGTGTTAACCTTTTCGAGGTAGCATGATCAGAAAACACTTTTTGAACTTTCACTTCGCGATCACGTAAGCGAAGCTCTGATTAGTCGGATGAAAGGACATTCTGCCGTGACCTGTAATTGGATGCACTAAGATTTGACGTTAAAGAGATTGATAACAATGTTCCATATACTAAATATTTTTAAAACTCTATATCCTAATTCCATAACTAAATAGCAAGGCCATTCCTGAATTGAAGAATGATACTTTGTTTCATAATTAACCCTGCATTCAACGTCCCACTTCTGTAAGGGTTCAATATCACACAATCAACCAAGTCATTGGGCTTGATCACCTGAACCATTTAGTAGCCCCTCAAAACAAGCATAGGTTGGTGACCTTTTTTAACCCTGTATGGTATCTGACATGCTTATAAAGGGTCCTCAAGAAATATTGAACGGTTTGTGAGTTATGCTCCGGAGACGAACACTACCCACATTTAAACATTAGTCCAACTTGCTACCCTGGAAATGCCAAAAAGAAAGTTTACAAAAAATCTTGAACAGCAAAAAAGTACCAGTTCAGTGCATGCCTGATGTGTACATAGTTTCTTAAAGATATATTGAACGGTTTACAAGTTATGCTCCGGAAACGAAAAAACTTCATATGGGCGGGGGGATTATACCAGTAAACATTTTCTTCTATGTTGGTCAGATGTTCAGTTTCACAACACATAGACTCAATTGTCCAATGACCGTATTTGTGTTACAGTGGAACTTCCCCAGTGCTATGATCACAAGGAAGGCCTGTGCGGCCATTGCTGCCGGTTGCGCCGTCGTCTTGAAACCAGCAGAAGACACGCCGTTCTCAGCTCTGGCTATGTGTCAGGTGAGTGGAGGGTATTAGGACATCTACTGTTCTCAGCTCTGGCCATGTGTCAGGTGGGTGGAGGGTATTAGGACACCTACTGTTCTCAGCTCTGGCTATGTGTCAGGTGAGTGGAGGGTATTAGGACACCTACTGTTCTCAGCTCTGGCTATGTGTCAGGTGAGTGGAGGGTATCAAGGACACCTACTGTTCTCAGCTCTGGCTATGTGTCAGGTGAGTGGAGGGTATTAGGACACCTACTGTTCTCAGCTCTGGCCATGTGTCAGGTGAGTGGAGGGTATCAAGGACACCTACTGTTCTCAGCTCTGGCTATGTGTCAGGTGAGTGGAAGGTATCAAGGACACCTACTGTTCTCAGCTCTGGCGATGTGTCAGGTGAGTGGGGGGTATCAAGGACACCTACTGTTCTCAGCTCTGGCCATGTGTCAGGTGAGTGGAGGGTATTAGGACACCTACTGTTCTCAGCTCTGGCCATGTGTCAGGTGAGTGGAGGGTATTAGGACACCTACTGTTCTCAGCTCTGGCTATGTGTCAGGTGAGTGGAGGGTATTAGGACACGCCGTTCTCAGCTCTGGCTATGTGTCAGGTGAGTGGAGGGTATCAAGGACACCTACTGTTCTCAGCTCTGGCTATGTGTCAGGTGAGTGGAGGGTATTAGGACACCTACTGTTCTCAGCTCTGGCCATGTGTCAGGTGAGTGGAGGGTATCAAGGACACCTACTCTTCTTAGCTCTGGCCATGTGTCAGGTGAGTGGAGGGTGTTAGGACACCTACTGTTCTCAGCTCTGGCTATGTGTCAGGTGAGTGGTGGGTGTTAGGACACCTACTGTCGTCCAGGGAAAGTACAGAGGAACACTCCAACCAGCATGCTCCTTTCATGAATGTTTAAGCTCACTTTCAGAATGTCAGTGGAAGCTTGTGTCATCATTGACTTTGTCCATCTGTAACTTCTGAACAATGAAACCCCTCTTCCACACAACTTTAGAAGAAAATGTACCAAAAAATTCTAGATTTTCAATTTGAAAAATTCACAATGCCTCTACAACATTAATATAAATATCACAACTGTGTCCTTTTCAGGGTCAAAATAATTTTGTAAGAATGATTTTCATAGCGGTATTTTTTTGGGGAAAAGGATGCACTATACTTAACACTGCTTAAGAAAATACAGTATGTATACATATTATATGTTTTTATAGAATCCAACTGCAAATTGTTTCAGCAATAAGTCTCTGCCTTACAAACAAATCAAGCTGTCGCAGTGATAGAATTATCCAAGTAGATGACCATCATTCATTTGCCTCTCTCCCTCCTCCCAGCTGGCCAAGGAGGCAGGCCTCCCGGACGGAGTCTTGAATGTGGTGACCAGTTCCCGCGACAACGCCCCTGCAGTGGGCAACTTGCTGTGCACCAGCCCCGTCATCAAGAAGATCTCCTTCACAGGGTCCACAGTCACAGGGAAGGTGAGAGTACATTGGGGTCTGCCATCTGCCATCAGACAGGCTATACTTTTATCATATACTGTGAAACCTCGCTTATCTGGACCTCGTTTATCCTAAAACCCTGCTTTTCGGATGATTATGTTTTGGAACGTCTACAAACATACAAATGACATTATACCGTAATGATGTGTTAGTCTGGAAAGAAGTATATCAGATTGACTTTATTGGGCTGTCGGGGTTAACCAGGTTTCACTGGATTCATACTGCTCTTGTGGAGAAACAGCTGCAGACGCAGTTACCATGGTTACACATGCTGACATACACAGATCCGGGGAGGACTGCACCTCTATTTCTTGAAGAGTATATCATTTGTATATGTATGCATTTCAGTTTTATAGGTTCTCTGATATGATGAGTGTAAACATCTTATACTTTACAACAGTATCAGAAGCAACTTGCTTTGCAGATTATTTGCATTCATCATTCCACACCAAATGAACCCCTCTTTTCCAAAACAGCTGTTTTAGCACTTGTACTTATGTGTGTGCATAGTTGTTTTGTTTGTTGTTTAACGCCGCTCTCAGTAATGTTTTTGTTCTATGTAGGTCCAGTGATTGATATCATGAACATCGATCTACGTAATGAGGATATACAATGACATGCATCAAGTCACAGAAACTCACTTGCTGGGCACGTACATTCTTACCCAAAGGCACAGGTTGATGGGATCTATGTTCTTACGCGAAATCCCCTCGCGTGCGGCAAACAAACATTGCTGGGGTCCTATATTCTTACCCCAAATCCCAACGTGTACAACAAGCATAGATTGCTGGGACCTATATTCTAACGTGGAAGCCCACGTGTACAACAAGCATAGGTTATGAGGGACCTATATTCTAACATGGAATCTCCATGTGTGCGACAAGTAAAGATTGCTTGGGACCTGTATTCTACTCGGGCCTCCCTACGGGTGGTGTGACGTTGAGAAACTCACAAAGGGAGTTGTGTCTTGTTGTAGATTCTCCTCCAGCAGTCGGCTTCTACAGTGAAGAAGGTCTCACTAGAGCTGGGCGGAAATGCACCGTTCATTGTGTTCAACAGTGCCGACATTGAGGCAGCTGTCCAAGGTACCATGGTCAGCAAGTTTCGATGTAGCGGACAGGTAAGGCCATCAATATGTTTTGTTTAGTTTGTTTGTTGTTTAACGCCACATATCCATTTAAGTAGTGCGGATGTTGGTCCATAGTGTCAGGGCAATTCATTTTACCTGTATCATCTGAAGTGATATCTCATTTAGTAAATGAAGACCCAACTTGTTTCTTTGTTGTTTAACGCCGCACTCAGCAATATTTCAGCTATCCGACTGCTGTCTGTACAAAATCGAGTCTCGACCAGACAATCCAGTGATTAACATTATGCGCATCAACCCATGCAATTGGGATAAATGTCCCCAATCACCGAGGACCTGATCCAATGAGTCGCCTCTTATGACAAACATAGGTTGCTGGGGTTCTATTTTCTTACCTGGAATCCCCATGGGTCTGTGTCAAGAAGAGGATCATTACAAAATTGTTGTGTTTTTGACATACCCTCAATGCTTATGGTCGTAATAAGACGTTTTACAGAAACCAGCTACACAGGAGCATATGAGTAACTATTATCAAATGTTTTAGTTCTTCACTACTGCTCGATCTTCGATACAAATTTAACTAATTTACCTTATCCTGACTCATACTATTGCTTATCTCAACTCATTTTGTAACGGTAGTGGAAACTATGTTCACAGTGAACAGAAAAAACAGCTCACTCGAATAAACCCCTGGCTTGCGCACGTTTTTGTCGATAACACAGAATTCAACCTTCAGTGTTAAGCAATCTGACTGAATAGATGAAATAGAAATAGATTGTTGAAATTTCCTATTTGCTACAGAGATGGTGTGTGCCAACAGAATAGCTTAACAACTGTAACTTAATACTTTGACCACTGCGCCATCTATACTGACACATTATTTTCAGGTATATAGAATCAAACATTTAATTTAATTTTCATCAACTAAACAGCTATTTCCTGTTTCCTCAGACGTGTGTGTGTGCCAACAGGATATTGGTTCAGGAAGGAGTGTATGACCAGTATGTTGCGCGTCTCGCGGAGGTCATGAACCAAGAACTGAAGGTCGGGGACGGCTTTGACGACAGCACCACACAAGGACCTCTCATCAACAGCAAGGCTGTGGACAAGGTAAGAAGGCCTATGGGAATAACTTGATCAAATTTGAAGAAAGAGATTACTAAAGTGTGTTTCCGTATCGAAAATAACCTATAATAGAAATAAAAATTGTATAATGTCCGCTTTTGGCGCATATACTACAAATCTTTTATTCCTAATACATGATATTGACAATACAGAAACATAATGACAATCTTACAATAATCAAGTTGTAACACATAATTTCACACAATGAAGTGGCATTAGAAACTGTGTATGAATACAATGTTTGAGTGAACCGCCCAATTTATGACATAGTGGCAAATGACTTGCTGCCAAGTTTGTCTACAGAAACACAGCATCACACTGGGGAACCCCTGCCTTAGCATATAGGGAATGTTAGTCAACAATTTACTGAGGAAGAAGGCATTACATCGATATATTGAGAATGAAGGTAGTTCTTTCTCAGTTACCTCATTTGCATATTTCTTTACAGGTGAGTAATAAATTGATATACTAAATACATCAGTCAGTGAAAGATTTATGAAATGTAATGTTGGCACAAACAAACAAGGAACAAGAATAGACCCTGAAATGCCGAAGTTTTAAGCAGTAATGTTTTCATCGTGTCACTGCGCGACCTTGCTCTTGATTTGGAAATTAAGAAGTATGGTCACCTCACTACAGATGTTATCGACATTGTAATCACAGATAATGTGACTTCCAGAAGTAGTATCATAGCGGAACACATGCAGACCCCTAAAGGAGATGCACTAAGCCTTGGACTTTGCCAGGAACACTGAGTTACTGATGCCAATTGACACACAAAAGATTGAACTTGAGCTGGCAGATCGATGGCCACTGTTGAAACTGGAAGCTGGACTTATCTAGTCAGTTAACTCCCTTGCCTCTGGAAGATGTTGCTGGCAGATCGATGGCCACTGTTGAAACTGGAAGCTGGACTTGTATAGTCAGTTATCTCCCTAGCCTCTGGAAGATGTTGCTGGCAGATCGATGGCCACTGTTGAAACTGGAAGCTGGACTTGTATAGTCAGTTAACTCCCTTGCCCTGGAAGATGTTGCTGGCAGATCGATGGCCACTGTTGAAACTGGAAGCTGCCATGGACTTATATAGTCAGTTAACTCCCTTGCCCTGGAAGATGTTGCTGGCAGATCGATGGCCACTGTTGAAACTGGAAGCTGGACTTATATAGTCAGTTAACTCCCTTGCCTCTGGAAGATGTTGCTGGCAGATCGATGGCCACTGTTGAAACTGGAAGCTGGACTTGTATAGTCAGTTAACTCCCTTGCCTCTGGAAGATGTTGCTGGCAGATCGATGGCCACTGTTGAAACTGGAAGCTGGACTTATATAGTCAGTTATCTCCCTTGCCTCTGGAAGATGTTGCTGGCAGATTGATGGCCACTGTTGAAACTGGAAGCTGGACTTACATAGTCAGTTATCTCCCTTGCCTCTGGAAGATGTTGCTGGCAGATCGATGGCCACTGTTGACAAGTGCTGTTGAATGTCACTGGCCTTGTAGAATGTGACATAACTTTGATGTTTTATGTGTCTAGTGTAAGACATAACATCAAGTCTATGAATACTAACCTCAAGGAAGTCTGGACAGTGACTGGAATTGTGTACTGTTGAGATAACTCTGCTGCTAGGCATGCTCCTACAAAGTGGGTGGTTCATGCGACAATGTTCAGCACCATCTGTTTTCTATCAGATGATTGGCCACGCCTTGATCCTTCCCCCAACCATGATAGAATTCTTCAGTCCAGTGAGGACACCACGGTCAGAAGCTGAAATGTCACAGGGATTCCAACGTATTGAGTGTTCTCGCTGTGAGGTTGTATTTACATGCATACTTGTGCAGAGATGTTTGGAAAAGAATGGATGCCTTTCATGATTTGTAAAACCATGTTCAGTAATCATGTTATTTGCACCCCTCTGGATCCGTGTATTTCAGTCTGTCTACTACTGGTCCGAACATGGCTCCTAGCGTCAGGATCAGTAGAATCTGTTGTTATTATATGGACTATTATTAGCTGAGCTTATTAGACAGAACAGAATTTTACTAGGTCTTTGGACTATTGACAGGTAGAAGGCATCGTGGCCAATGCTGAGAAACTCACTTTCTCTGTGATATAGAAGTATATGCCACTTGTTGACAGGTAGAAGGCACCGTGGCCAGTGCTGAGAACTCATTTTCTCTGTGATATAGAAGTAGAAGTATGTACCACTTGTTGACAGGTAGAAAGCATCGTGGAGGATGCCAAGAGACTTGGTGCAAGGCTGGGATGTGGGGGCAAGAGATCGGACAAGGGAGTGAACTTCTTTGAACCGACACTGCTCTCCAATGTCACGCTGGAAATGAGGTGTGCTCAAGAGGAAATATTTGGACCCGTTGCTGCAGTTATCAAGTAAGTCGCAAACATGGCTGTAATCAACACTGAAGGCTGTAACAAGATTCTGCCATTTTTTGTATCCAGCTTGATAAAATATACCTGCAGTAGGGGCATTCTAATATAAATTTCCTTGTGAGGAACGAATCCAATTGAATTTCCATAAGTAGCCCTGGATGCTGAATACTCCAGGTACAGTGACTCTAGGGCTAGGATGGGTAACTCGGGTCATCTAAGTAGTTTTGGCAGGGCTCCTGTAAAAGAAAATTCTTAATTGGACATTTTGTTGCTAACTTGAGACCTACAGTGGTTACCTAGGTAGGGTCAGGTAATAGGGGGCTGGGTACCTGGGTAATATATATGGTCTCTCCCAACCGTAAATAACTCACAGTCAGACAGTCTAACGACCAGATGACATTTTAGTCGGGTCTCACAAGCAAGAGACCCTTACTTATGACCATGTTCTACCCGCAAATTAACTCGGTGGATTTAGATCTGGCATTGGAGAACTGGAAACATGTTAAAAACATTGCGTTCTTAATTCTTATCACATTGGGGGCACGGGTGCCTAGTCATCTAAGGCACCACAAGTTGCTGTGCAGATTTCCTTGGGATTGTGGGATTCCTGGTTTGTCCTGATTATGTTTAAAGGTTTGTCAGCACTATATCTGTGCTTCTGGGTTTCACCGAAGTGGTAAACCTCAAAGACTTGCATCACCTCGGGCTTTCCTACCACATCAAAGTGACACATCGTGATATGACTGGAAAGCGGTCTAAACCCAACACTCACTCACTCACTCACTCACTCACTCTTATCACATGAGTAAACACAACTAAGAGCAGAGAACTGAGACTGTTACTGACTGATTTACAGATTCAAGACAGAGGAGGAGGCAGTTGCCATAGCAAACTCATCCAGTTCTGGCCTGGCAGGTAAGGCAGTACATGTATTTCCATGGCAACGTTCTTGTGGCATTTCAGTGAGGTTGTATGGCCACTCAAAGCTCGAGTCCTGTTTTGTACAGATGATGACTAAAGAGAATTATCAGGCTATGATATGATGACTGAATCTAATTCTATACTTTGTGGCCTAAGGTAGAAAAATATTCTGATCAGTAAACATTACCTGTTGGCCCTTACAGCATTCTCTTCACAAGCCATGACACAAGAGAAACGCCAGTCGGTATGGTGTCATGCATGGCCTGTTAGGCTATTGTTGTCTGGCAGCATCTTCTCTTCTGAAAACACGGAGCTGAATAAGTCTATAAACCAAGCCCAAAACTTTCTGCAGATATAGATATACATACTTAGTGTTTCAAATGATTTTGACCCCAAGGTTACTCTTTTTGTGTTAGCTAAAATTAAATAAACAAAGCAAAACCTTTTGGGAATGATGAAGAGAATATCAGGTCAGTTCAAGACCTAAATATCGAAATTAAACATCAACCTTTGAAACAATGCTGCAGACTGTTGTATGTGCTTAAGCCTCTACATGTGTGTCACCAAAAGGGAAAGAAAAGTTTAAAATTCATCAAATTTGAAACTTTAGTTCTCTGAAAAAGATGAACAGAGAAATAATTTATTTTTGTTGCAAGTTTGTTATTTTATTCCCAGAAAGCACCACTTTTATGAAAATAAGTTTTAAATTATCACGGTGCCTACTCATCTAATAACTTTTTCTGTAAAAGGTTTACAAGGTGAGACTATTCTTCACTGACAAGCTCACAGGCATACAAACCTTTTGACTGAATAAGGCCTGTCTTTAGTCACATGGGTTATGCAATTTCCCTCATAAAATAAGGATTTTGTAGTTTGAATAAGAAAATAAAAACACTTTTGAGTGATTGAAAAAGGCCCAAAATGTATGATACACATATGGGAATTACAGTGGGCAAGATGTTGATGCAGAGTGGCTTAAACTGTTTTGCTGATATTTTAAGATTTTGAATATATGACTAAGCAGGTGTGCTACAAGTGGAGCTAGTTTTCTTTTTGTGATTCACAAAAATTAAATCCGTTACATCTGAACATAAAAGTACAATTAATTTTCTTGTCATCCTGCAGGCTATTTCTACTCACAAAACCTGAGCCAGATCTGGCGAGTAGCAGAGAAGTTGGAGGTTGGTCTGTGTGGTGTTAACGACGGGCTCATCTCCGCCATAGAGGCGCCTTTTGGCGGAGTGAAGGAGTCAGGTCTCGGTAGAGAGGGCAGCAAATACGGAATTGATGACTACCTTGAAATCAAATATGTCTGTCTCGGAGGTATATAACTGCCATGTGTTCCAAAATTGTTTTGAAGCATGTTCAAGAGAAATTGTATCAACAGGATTTTATGATGCTGTGCATTAAAATCATGCCTGTAAATTTATGTAAGGTTGTGAATGGTGCATGACTTCGTAATTCCAAGGTTCACAAGCCCTGTGATTCCTTTGCTGGTTCGTTTACTCAAGAATCAAAACATTGTTAAAGCATTTTAGAGGTTCATGATTCTTTAAACTTTTATATCTGACATTTTTAAGAGTCAATACAAAACAAGTACATTGTATTTGAATGACATTTCAAAACATTTCTTATTTATATGAAAACAATTTTGGTTAGTTTTTAACCCCAGATTAATTGACATGAGATGTGGCTTCAGTGTTGTGCAATGTATAAATTTTATTACATGCAATTAGTATAATATTGATAATCAAGTGTGCCAAAACAGATACAACAGCGACATAGCCATCATTATCATAATACTGAAAAACAAGCCCTGTCTTACGAATGTTTCCTTCCATTAATGATCAGTATACCTTCAGTGTTTTGAGTTTGATACTCAATCCACCTTAAATTTGTAATTGTAAAATATCTGTCCTGCCATACTAGTATTTGAATGAAAAAAATACAGTCCCCCAATTTTAAAAAATATGAAGGGCTGTTGGTAATAACTACCTACCTCCTACCTATCTTTCCCCTTGTGCTAGAGAGTATCCTAGTAGTGTCTCAATCCTTGCAATTTTGGTGGTGGTCATCCAGTGTACAGTGATATTCAGAATATTTTGTGAACATGGCATTAAAAATTAACAACGAGCAATATCTGTGTCTTGTTTCACTTGTTTTGGGTGAAATAAATAAAACTGAAAGCTTAATTCAGTGAATGGAATGGGGTCGTATTTCTCTCTATCTCATTTTGAAGTGATGAATCATCTTGAGAAAAGTTGTAATATTGAAAAATATGAAGGTCTGTTGGTAATAACAACTTGCCTCCTACCTACGTCATCCCTTGTGCTAGAAAGTATCCTAGTAGGGTCTTGATCCTTGTTGGTGGTCATCCGCCATTGTAGTTGATTATGTGGATAACCATGGAGTATTTGCTCTGGAGACACTTTGTTGGATAAATATTTTATCCATTTGTTCAAGACAACTCTTTGTTGCTTGCTGTCGAGTTGGACAGTGATATTTAGATTATTTTGTGTTACAGGAATTGTGAACATGCCAATAAAAACAATGAGCAATATCTGTGGTTTGTCTCACTTGTTTTTGGTGAAAGTACTAAAACTGAAAGCTTAAATCAGTGAATGGAATGGTATCGTATTTCTCTCTATAACAAAATCTTTCAAACACTTCACTAACCTAAATGCGTTTTGGATGGAATGGGAGTGATCTCCCTTTAATTTCATTCACACAAGCTCCTTCCCAGCGCGTGACCCCTTCGTTACACTCTCGGTAACATGGCATTCACAAGCTCCTCGCAGCGATAACCCGTTCGCTGAGCTCTCCACACTCCGGCGCATCATGCCAAAGGGCCGGGTTTGCTTCCCAAAGGGGTACAGTGCGTAAAATCCATACCTGGTGACTGGTGTCCCCTACAGTGATAAGCTGAACTATTGCCGCGTAAAACCCATATCCTATAACAATCTAAATGTGTTCTGGGAAATTGTTTACAACCTAGCTCTAATCACAGGACTAATGAAACATCAAAAGACAAATGCTGGAGAGGTGTGATAAAATCAAGTCCAAAGGGAAGTACTATCGACGTGTCTATCGGCTTCCGACAATCAAACTCTTCCCCAAAATACAACATCGGAGAAGATTGTATGCATTATTTAATTTACCAGCTATTGTGCACGACTGTAAATCTCCGCACCTGCTCATGTTGTCTTGATCTTCATGCAACACATTGAACTATTTGCTTGTCGTATGAGGCGACTGACGGGATCGGGTGATCAGGCTTGCTGAAATTGTTGATGCATGTCGTCGTATTCCAACTGCGTATTCCATCGATGCTCATGTCAATCACTGGATTGTCCGGTCAATACTCGGGAATATACACACCGCCGTCATATAGCTGGAATATTGCTATTGACAAACATTGAACTATTGCAATGTGAAAGAAGATGCAAATGCAAAAACAGCGACTGTGGCCTGTGCACGCCTGCATTTAATATAATTATGGAGTCCGCATCTTTTTGCAAACCAACCGGATATCACTCACCCCTTGCTGCGTGGGACGTGTACACGGGGTATCTTAAAATTAGGAAAACATATTTTCGGCGTCCAAGTCCACAAGCGTTATTAGAGCATTGTGTACAGAGGATTCCACCGGGACGTTAGGTTGCATTGTGTTAACTACTAAGTATGTCGGGAGTTAATATCTGATTATTGTCGTGATTAAATAAATGTTTTTACAAATTTGTGAATTTCCCGCCACGAATCACAGGATCTTTATCAGACTTTTGACAAATATTAATCGGGAATTGTCCTTTCAAGGACGGCAGTTAAAATCCTGAATGTGTGACTGAGCACTCACGGGGTAAAATGCTGGTTCGCTGTCTTTGCCACTGGAGGTTGTGTAACCACCATCCCCTATCCAAGAACTATTCCGTGTCTTCTGATATAGGAACACATGACATTATGCGTCTAGACGACCTCGGCTGACACTACAACTGCCTTTCTACGGTGACTGGGGTATCATTGGGTGTGAACAGCACCCGCAACTCATTCTTACACTTCACCATGAATACGGAAGGTTATACTTTACCCGCTACTCGGAACATTCTGACCAGCAAAATACACCCCTATATCTACTGACCACATTCTTCACAGAGAAAGTCGATCATAACATGGCTTTCTCAGACTGGAGCCCGCGTGACCACGGACAGTTGTAGTGTGTAACCCATGTCCAGGCACCTTGGTCGTCTAGGTAGAACTCGTAGAGATTAAAAACAATCGGTATCTGGACCATGTTTGCTTTGGGAGAAACTATATACTCGTATGTGTGTCTTTAAGCCTCAACTAGGCTGTGAAAACAAATAAAAGCTGAGGAAGTTATTACAGCCGTGTTTTTGTAAACACTGTTATACCTAGTGTCACAAGCAGTATCAGGGGCGGATCCAGGACTTTAAAAAAAGGGGGGGGGGGGGGGGGGGGGGGCGGTCCACTTTGGTCATTTGTGGTCCACTTTGGTCATTTGTATCTTCAGTGGGAAAATCCCTACCCGACACGCAAATCTAAACCGTTATGTGAACCAATGTATACTGAATGTAACAGTTCAATTAACCTTACTAAACGTATCCCAATTGCGTGGATCGATGCTCATGTTATCAATCACTGGATTGTCTGGGCAGACTCTATTATTTACAGACCGCCGTCATATAGCTGGAATATTGCTGAGTGCGGCGTTAAACAACAGACAAACAAAACCCTTACTAAAATCCCCATTATAATAAGTCGTTATATCATTTATCAGTTTCTAGGGTCAATGTAACGTTCATAATGTGTTTCAGTTAACTTTTGACGCCGCAGTCAGCAATATTGCAGTTCTTACGTAGCACGTTTACTTTATACCCCGATGCAGTTAATTTGGCATTCAGAATCATTACCTTTGCAACAGAGACTGTAACGCATCTATAGCCTAGAAGTAAGTAAGGATAACATACATGATTTAACTACAAAGTAGTATAACATAACGAAGCCCATGTCAGCAGCACTCTTGTGCACACCGTCAGAACTGAATACAACTAAATCTACTTTTACACATGTACTGATTCGCACCATTCGTGACCAACTCGTCCCTTTCCGGGACAAGCCGAATGTAGGTTACGGAAACATGCGAGTGGATACGAATGATCACGCACAGAACCTTTCTGCGAAATTCATTCATATTCACATATATATCAAGGGTAGGATTTAGTAATAAAAAAATCCGTTTAAATCTGGTGCTTGGAAGACATACCATGCTATGTGTGTGTGTGTGTGTGGGGGGGGGGGGGGGGGCAAATATTTATTCAAGTTTCACTTGTCCCCAATTTGTATTTTCATGATTCAAATAGAACTGTTTTCTAAAAAAATCAAGGCTCGCCGCCACAAGCCTCGAGGTAACAGAAGGGGAAGAAATGTTGAAAAACCCACAAATTAAAAAGAACATTCACTGTAGCGCGTAAATAGACGAAACAGCAATGACAAGTGTTTAAGTTCATGTACTGCTCTAAACGAAATTAATTCTTACCACTTTGGTTGAAATACTTTGTCAAGCCGGTGCAGTTGAATTATCTTCTGCTTCCATTCATTGAGTCTGGAATTAACGCGCATTAAAAACATCGTGCAACGGAAGTGAGCTCTGATTGGTTTAACTCGTAACCATGACACCACGTGACCTTGCTGGCGAACACCTGTGTGAAATGTACAACGCATCATACCTGATTTGACAGTTGTTTATGTAAGTCTAACACGACGAACTGACTTTGATGTGGTAGCCTCGTGGTTAAAACGTCCGATACAGTCCTGGATTCCATTCCCCACGTGTTAATCAGTGTCAAACATATTTTGGCATCCCCAGCCGCTAATTGCTGCACAGAATAATCTGATAAATGACTTAACCCCCAAATCGCTATCTTGAAGTATTTAGTGAAATTGGAACTGTTATTACAGCTAAATGAGGGCAAATTTGGTACACACATACGATGTTTGTTTGTTGTTTACGCCGCAATCCAGTGATTGACATCATGAGCATCCACGCAATTGGGATACGATGACATGCATCATCCAAGTCAGCGAGCCTGACGATCCGATCCCGTTCGTTGCCTCTTATACGACAAGCAAAGTCGCCTCTTACGGCAAAAATGAAGAAGACCTATTCTAACCCGGGTCTTCACGGGTCCTGATTAATTGTTGCCATTGGACATAGCAAAGAATTAAAGACATTTCTAAACTGTATAGCCAATGTATTCGTCCATGTTCGCAACATGTTTACATCTGTATAGAAGTCATTATTTGATAGTGAACTTAGTCAGAGACTATATCAGGACAAATACCCTGATTTAGCTGAAGAGAGCTTGACTTGTGGGAGATGAAGTGGTAGCGTCTTGTGGTAAAAGCGTTCGCTCGTCACAACCGCGAAGAACCGGGTTCGATTCCCCACTTTGGTACTATATGGGATTCCTAAAAGCGGGGTAAAACCATACTCACTCACTATTGTCATCTCGGGGTCAGTATCTGCAATTTCATTCTCGGCTACTGATGAGTGAGTGGGTTTGGTTTAACGTCGCTTTGAACAGTATTCCAGTTACACGGGACCCGTGAAGATTCCGGTGATAGAATAGGTCTTCAGCAACCCATACTTGCCGTAAAAAGCGACTATGCTTGTCGTAAAAGGCGACTAACGGGATCGGGTGGTCAGGCTTGCTGACTTGGTTGATACATGTCATCGATCCCAATTGCGTGGATCGATGCTCATGATGTCAATCACTGGATTGTCTGGTCCAGACTCGTTTATTTTACAGACCGCCGTCATATAGCTGGAATATTGCCGAGTGCGGCGTAAAACAACAATCAATCAATCCAGTTACACGGCATGAAAACATGAAGAGGGTGGAATGGCCGAAATGATGCAGGTATACTACTACTTCGGTAAAACCCACGAACTCGTGTATGGTGCTGTAAACCAACCAACATTGTCAAGGCGAATATTGGCTTTGCAAGGCAAATTATATTTAGAAAAAATGCCTTTTTATTGATGGCATCAGTTGTCAATAAGCAAATGTGTGTACTTTAGGCAAAATCGAGGCTGTTCAAAAACGATCACACAATCTTTCGTCGTTCGTTAACAAACAAATACTAAACATCACGTTATCTTTTCAGCCATAATATCTAGTATAACATTTTAATTGAAAATGAAATCTGCAAAATTATTTTATGCATTATTAAGCAAACATTTAACTTTTTGTCACATCCATTAGTTTAATCTGTTAGATTGCCAGAATATGCAAGAACGACATTAGTCTCATTGTTCCTTGGATATCTGTCACATACATGTTTGGTTATTGCTCCCGAGACCACTGTGTGCGTCACAAGACCCTTGCCGGAGACACCCTTGTACTAGTGGTTCGTGTCACCGGTGCAACAAACACAGAACTCCTTTGTTCAGCCTTTAACTATTTTATTCAACATTAATACAAGATAACAACAATATGATATAACAATATTAACAATCTATGAAGGTAGAAACACCGCTTTTTA